GTCGTTCCTTGCTGAATTTAGCCAAATTTCCGTCACATTTCGACTATTTTTGCCACTGTAAAAGAGACAGTAATTCTTATTTTCACAGACGTGGCAGTTGCGAGGTCAGCCAGTCACTTCTATGGAATGCCAGCCTCTTTTGCCACAATCTGCTTTTGTCCAGTTCGGGGCTCACCCTCTCCGTACTGTGTTGACAGCCGACATTTCCTGGGAAATGCTTCTGATCGAAATGTGTCGCCCAGAGATTGTGTGCAGCTCGTTGTGCTCACAGAATTTCCATTTGTCTGACGATCACTGCTTAGTGCTGGAAGAGGATGGTATATCTATTTTATGGAATCTGGCTCGTAGGATCAGTGACAGCTGTGGTCTGCGAAGTGTAAATGACTGAATGTACCTCTTCAGTGTAGTCGATGAAGATGATGGAAAATTCGAACCGAAGAGGTCATTCTTCCTTGTTTGTACTAATTTCTACCCCAATTGTCTTCCTCGACAGTGTTATGTAAGCCGAACTGCCTGTCCTCGCTTTCTTGATAAATTCGACTAATTCCTTTCACTTCTACACAAACTTCGGGTTGTTTCTTCCTTAGGACTGCCGAATACTGCATGCTGATATCCTCCCGTACGTTCCTAGCAGCTGGTTCGCAGACGTTTACTTTCAAAATCAGCTTATTTTCGGCTTCTGCTCATTGAAGTGTCTCGTAAGGTGATCGATGTGACGAGTGGTACCGTTGAATTTCTTGCTTTCCTTCACTTATCATTCTCTCAGTGCGTTTTATTGTTAAGTGCCTGTGAGAAATTGTACATTTTGTTTGTTGAGCTAGTATTGAAAATGTCATTTTCTTATAATTGTTGGCAGGAGGAAGCATATGAGCGTGAATTAAAGAAGAAAGTGGATAAAATGTTGCGGCACACAAGGTATAATTGGAAACCACTGGATTTCAAAACCCGCGAACAGGCTGCTGCTTACACATTAGCAAGGTACGTTGCGAATCGTGGTCCAACATTATGCTGTGGTGTCAGTAGGCGAGCAATCGGCCAGGCAATATTTGAGTGTAGTTGTATTACAACTGAACAAAGTGGCGCTTATTTTCTGGCCGGAATCGGGGGAAAAAGTTGCTCTCAGCCCAAACGTCCAAAATTTGTAGCACATTTACTCATGAAGAGCGGAGGAGAAAATAAGTAGCGGTTGGCTGACTGTACTGTGTGCTCGGTTCCGCATATTAACTGCTTCGTTTCGTTCAAGGATTGCACCTAATCACGCAGAAGTTCGTTTTGTGCTGCAAGAACTTGAACGTGTCAAATATGTGCCGCAGACTGTTCTGGATTATGGCAGTGGTTCTGGAGCGGCGTTCTGGGCAGCATTCGAGCAGTGGGGCAAAAAAGTGGCCAGTTATCAGTTGATTGATCCAAATGAAGAAATAAGTCAATTTTGCATGGACATTTTGAGGGTTCGCATTTCCAGCAGTCGGTCTGCTATTTAATAAATTAGTGTATTTTGATGTTCCGCAAATGGTTCTTCGCTGCTGCTGCTTCACTGAACTGTTTTAATGTCTTTTCTCTTGAATAAAAACATGCAAATTTTTACAGAGCCTTTTAAAAAGACACACACTTTCTGCTGCACATATTTTAGGGAGATGGCGAAAACGATGGGCATGCATTCGTACATCCGGACATTACTTTTCGAAGATTTCTGGCACCTTCTTTAAGTAATATCTTTGATGTAATCATCGTGCATCGCGTTCTTGCGGAAGTAGCATCCAAAGAATCTCGAATCGACCTTATTACTAATCTGTGGAGGCGGACTAACAGGTTGAAGCAGTTTTATTGGAAAATTTTGTGCATACGTTGTTTTTTGATTTATTTTCGACTCAAACTGTTGCGCTTGTGTGGAAATCAGTCCTTTCAAAATTCATTAATTTATTTCAAAATTAGTTAGCATATCTGCCGATTCGAGGATCAAGCGACTTTGAATTTTTTAACAATTTCCGGTTGAGAAAGCCATTGACACTTTTGCTGGTGCATGGTTACTCTTAACATAGTGACATCGTTTGCGAAACTTCCTACAGCATCCAGCTTTTATGAGGGCTGAAAAGAAGTTGTGATGTACGGCTTATCAGTCCTTTACTTTTAGTACCCAAACGAAAAAAAAATAAATGGCAACGCGCACCAGACTAGCCGGTGCGATTATGCGTTTTGTGCAATTCAGCCCATC